CTACTTCCTGGTACCCAAATATTCACTTTCTGTTGTTATTAAACAGACAAAATAAACATAACGTACAATAAGTTTTATATAAGATTCAGAATCCGCCATCTTTTTGCGTTGAAACCTATCGACAGAGAGAGAAACACAATTTCCCTATAAGGTGTTTCCTGCTTTATTAGATTTGAATATCTTATATATCCTACGGAATAACACTATATTCACGCAAGCAATTCCTCGGTACGTATATATTTTTGCTCTTAATTTGGATCGCTTTGTTTAATATATATATATATATGATTGTATATAAGGTGCAAGTCTGCGTCAGATTTCAAATACAGATGTTGTCAAGCTTAGGCAAAATTATGTCTGCTTGTCGAAACGTGGCTATACTCTATTGTAGATAAGGTCTCGGGTGGTCAGAATATGTATATGAACATGAGATGCGTCTGTCAGAAACAGCTGAAGGATGTAAACAAGGGGGCCGAGATTCAGGAAATATGATTTAGAACGAAGTTGTTCGGGCCTCGTCTCGCCAGAAGCTCATCTTAAAGTGGAACTGTGTATTAAACTGTTTATTGTTTGTGATTCTTAATTAAGTTTGCGTTGTGAAGAAAAGAAACGTGGTTGGTTAATTAATTCTTTCTGTTTTATGAATACAATTTCTCCCCATAAAATACTAACCATTTCTGTTCCAAGTATCATAACTTTTTACATCAATGAAGAAATAATTGTTACGTATTAAATTTATGAGTTTATAATATTTCTGGTGGTTATGTTCGAGTTACTACCGAAATTATATGAAAACCAGAATCGTGTAAAATATTTTCGGTATTAAACTTTCGGGCTGTACAGAGATTTAGTATAAATATCACTGCAATCAAAGGAGGATTCCTTTGAAGGATTTAGATTTTCAGCGCCTCGCATCACCTTAGAAGTTATAATATCCGCCATGTTTTTGGTATTGTGTGTTCGCATTGAAGACTACGAATATGCAATGTCTTTCAATGGAATCGTTCTTTTAAACTTGCAATAAAAATCCATTCACAAGTTTTATTTTCGCAGGTTTTATTCCAAAACGTTCAATTTATTCTAAAAGATTAGGATATTACGTTGTAATGAAAGTAAATTGATTAATGCCGGACGGAATCAGCAACATGTTATCTATTAAATACTTGTTATTTAAAATGTGACAAAACGTCGGGGACAAGTTTATTACTTTATAAATTTCAGAGATTATAACTTACCCAGACGTTGAACCGAAACATATTTTCTGCGAGTGATAAATTGGACACGACAGCGGGCCTGAAAGGGGACAAGGCACACGGATGGACAGAAACACGTTTATGTCATCTTAAAAATTTCCTGTTTATCTTTTGAAAGGACTTTCACACATTTACTAAACTTTTATGGGAAAATATAACATTCATATTAAGCTGAAATATATTAATGATAATAATATCTTCTTTTACGTTAACCTGAATTTTCATAATTTGTGACCTATTCCTTTAGGTGTTATTTTCTACACTTCTGAGTGTCTTCTTATAATTCTCGAACTGTTAAGTTCCCTCAGGATACTTCTTATTTCTCTACATTTGCTCTTTGTCTATAGCAAATCGTATCTGTGTTTCCCTTGTTCTTCCTTTTTGTGTTTTATTATATCCGTAGTCCCCGGTTTCTTCTAATACTATTAAAACTGCTGATACTTTGTAAGGTCTGGTGGTTACATTTCAAAAGTTCTTACTGTACCACAAGTATTATGACGTTTCCTTACTTTTCTTTCCACGTTTCCGCCTTCCGGGCATGAGACATTGCATAGCTGAAAATTACGTTTTTCTCTTCAAAAGTTGTAACATATTTTGCAGTGTATTTCTAAGTGTGGACGTTTCTTAGAGGTTTCAGTTTATATATATATATTGTATTTATGTGATTAATAATACATATAAAGTTGATCCATATACACACTATCAGAATTCTCTGCTTTCAACTTGACTTAATCTGATTTGTCTCAAACGGAGGTCTATCAAAGAACATAAAGGGCTCAAATACCCTTGTAAGTTGATTTATCTCTGAACCCACATACATAATACACACTCACACATGAAAAGAATATTACATAATATAGGAAGTGGTTAATAATATTCATTAACATATCAACGTTGCTTTGAAATTTAATAGAAGCACGTGCTTCTGGTCTGTGGTCATTGGGTTAATTTATTCAATGAAAATATAAATACCATAAAGAAAAGCACGTAAGCTGTATTAATATCACGTAAAATGTTTGATCTGGAATTAGTTAAATGAAAACGAAATTTCGTCTAACTTAAAGTCCTAAGTAGCAAAATACATTTTTTATAAACACAACAATGCTCATACATTTGGAAATACGAATATGTAAACAATATTACGTATATTCACCATTAAACTTATTTTCAGAAATTTTATCTTTCCATGTGATATCTAAAACATGAAGGTTACAATACACAAAACTACTGTTTACACTTTATTTTATATGAGTGAAAAATATTCTGTCGCTGAGCGAAGAATGAAAATTTTATTGCTTTCAAGAACAAAGTACTAAAAATAATACACGAAACAAAGAAGGGAGAAGTGAGAAGATATTTGAGAGATACACTAATATTAATTTTATAATATATCCTGTTCGACTAATACTTTTAAGGTAAATATATAAAAGAGAAATAGATGCCCAGGTCATATAAGCACGGATAGAAAATACATAAAATTTTATGGGTATGAAATTATGGTCTGGAAAGTGTATGAGGTCGCTTAGAAGGCCTATGCTTACATGAAAATATGTTACGGCGTTGAATGTAATTAACTGATTCA